TATGAGTTACTTGAAATAAATTACTTGAATCACTAAAAAGAATGAAATTACTTGAAATACGAGTTACTTGAAATTTCAAGTATTTTACTTCAAATATAAAAAAAAAAAATTCTCTGGCTGTGTAGTGGGCAGCTTTTCCAGTCGCTTCGACTAATGTTTCATCGCATAACGGCCAGCTTTCCTGGTGGTATTTACGCTCATTTCATCTCCTGAAAGGATTACCACTCAGTGGTTCTCCTGACAGAACCATCTGGCGAGAATTTATCGATTTCGGAATATCCTTGGCATGTTTTGAGCATCAGCACCTTGCACTGGGTATTTCTACTCGTAGACTACCTTGCTTACTGGGACTTTAATCTTCGTGGATTTTCGAGATCTGGATGTTTGGCGCACTTTTCTATCCCCGAAACTTCACAGGCACCTTTAGCGGATGCCTTTTTCAAAAATGGAAATCAAAACTCCTGTTATTTTTCACTTTTTACAAAAGATGGAGACATTTGGAAGTGGCTGGAGGGGCAGAAATTTGTCGACAGTAACCATCTGCTGGCAAAACTGTAATAATTCCTCTCTCTGCCTCCGAGATAGTTTAAAAACAAGTTGTTGACGATTGTGAGTGCCCGATGTGCTCCAAATTATTTTTTTTTTTCAGGACCTGTATGAAATGTTGAATATGTTTGTTGAAGTGTGGACTAAGGAAATAAATGTGCTGGATGAGATGAGCAGGCAGAGTTGGCACGACCAAATCGATGCTGTAAGTTATCACTACTACTTTTATACTTACTTTATTCAGCACACCAATATTTGTAGCGTTTTTTTCGAATTACGGGCAATTTTTGCATTTACTGTGACCAGTGTTACACCATGGCTTTTCTGGTGATCAGGCCGTGGCTATTCTAGCGTTCTTTTCGTTTCAGATGGAATTAGGAGCTAAACTTGTGTCGCTACAGAAGCACTTTTTTTAGGGTTTAGCATTTCAAAATGTCAGTAGTGTGTGTGTGTGTGTGTGTGTGTGTGTGTGTGTGTGTGTGTGTGTATGTATGTGTATGTTGTGTATTTGCATGCTTAATGTGTGTGCTAAACTCGTTGCCAATCCTGGAACAAATGGGAATCTTTGTCGACAACCGCCCGAAAAATTAGCGTGGTTATTCTACATTGTTGTGATAGGGGGGGCGTTACAGGGGCGTTTCTGCTACGTATACGAAAACGCTCTTTCGGCTTATCGTACTGAAGAGCGCATCAAAAAAATAAAACAGTGGCCCCGATAACTTCACAACTGCATTTGGCATAATGCCAATGCAGTTAGTTGAACACATAGACTATTTGTGGATTTGATGTTTAGGCTTGATACAAATAAAGGGCACATTAGTGATACTGGCACAGTGTAATCTTGTAAAATTTTCACAATAAAACCAGTACTGGCGATCGTTCCTCACCCTTTCTTCTCCAAGGTCTTACCGGTTATGCCTTGCATTTTGAACGGCGTAAGAAAGCACCTACTTCCAATCGGAACTGCCTCAGCTTGTAATAAATATGCCTTAAAAAAATTGTTCCAGGAGCTGAAAGCCTCGTATCCGTGTTGTTCGTTGAAAGCGATTGCAAGTAAAGCTATAAAGGTTTGTTAGATCTTTTAAAATTTTTCGTTGTAACTTTTTAAGGGAATAGCCATACAGCTAATTTCATAGCACAGAT